TTTAAATAATCAATTTGACTTTATAACTTATATTAATTTGACGATTTCAAACATTAGTGGCTATCTACAAATTAGTTTTAGTAGCAAGATTTGAGTTATTCTTAAAACTACTCATTTGTAACAGTTTACATATTATTATGAACAATTAGTTAAAACTTTTTTCATAAGGACACTTTTGAGTTTATCTCAATACAAAAATGTATAGGCAATTAAAATGTGATGCTGCACATAGAAATGAGAAAGCACAAGGTTATAATATTTAATGATAAAGTAATGTGATAAGTATGAAAGATATAGAATGTAAAGAAATAATAATAAAATTAAATAATATAATGAAATAATTTAAATATTAATAATAAATTATAATGAAATTAATAATGAAATAGTTAAATATAATAGTAATAATATAATAAATAATAAAATTAAAATATTAATTTATTTTTATTTATATTAATAATTTATTTTCTCTTATTTATTATTATTATTATTTTTTCTTATATTCGAGTTCTTTATTCTTTTGATTCTTTATTTTCTTTCTTTAATGTTATTATTGATATATATATTTCATTTGTATTATCATTGTATTTATTATTTATATTTATAATCATAATAATTATGTGTATTTAATTAATAATATCATCTTCATTATTACTATTCATATTTTTAATATCTATTCAATATTTCTTAAAATTACTATATTTAATTATAATAAATCAAACATTTATTTTCAATTAATTATAATTATATCAATAATGATAATATAATGAATTATATGAATAATTGATATAGTAATATTTAAATATATTATACAATTACTTTTATTATGATAAAAATACAAATAATCATCAAGTTAAGTAATGATACATTTAAATTGATAACATCAATTTAAATAAATAAATTAACATTCAAATTAAAACAGAAAATGAAAGTGGAATATAATAAATAATATCAAATGAATAATAAAGAAGATAGAAATGAATATATTCAAAATTATTTAATAAAATAACTGATTAATGATAATAATCATTATCAAATGATTAATAATATCATTCATTCAAATGATAAATGATGAACTAATACAATTTTAATGATTTAAAATATTTAAAACACATTTAAATATGAAATTATTTAAAAACAACATAAATTATAATAAATAAACAAAGTTCAAATCAATTTCATGTATTTGAACGTGAAATATGAGAAAAGAAGATAATAATAAGCATAAAATGAAATATTTAATAATAGAAGTGAAATAAATTAATATTGATATTCATTAAATTAACAATAAAATCATTAAAATATTACAAAATATAAAATTTGTTATCATAACATTTTTTGACTCTCTGTAGTATTATTTTTGACATAATTTTCTATAATAAATTATTTGGTTTCTTTCGTTGATATGTGTGTCTGTCTTTATTTTTGTTATTTTTGAAATTATATTACTTGAATATTTGTTTCACACAATTTCAATTAGTCTACACCATTTGTTATCTTTGACCTAGTTTGAAAAAGTATTATTTGATATTTAATACCAGACACTTCCTTAACACCAGTTCTATAATAGCAAAACTAGTTCAAAACCTAATAACTATTCACTAACCTATCTAAAAGCTTATTAAGTAATTCTTTTAATTTTCAATTGTATTTTGAACTATCGAGCATATTATTAGACATTTGATAAATATCGCCCTTAAAATAAACAATTGTTGTTTTTCTTTCTTTTATCATTTTATATTTTATATTTCACTTAGCACTTCTTTGGTTTTAATATAGAGGTGTTGTCCAATAAATGGTTAAATTAACAGAGCGTTCAAGAGCCAATAGAAAATACAAACATCGTTCTAATAAAATTTCTAATTTATCATTATGTTCAGTGATCATATTATAATATATTCACTTGTTTTATTTGATAAAAATTATTCAAAACATTACTTCTTTCAATCAGTTATTCGAATAATTTCTTTTGGCTATTTCTTGTTTTAGTTTTCTTAAACTTGTCCATTTATAGTAATTAAAATTGTCTAATGTTACTTAAAATATAATGAGTGATAACTCTGTTACTCTACATTATTTTTAAATTCTGAATAATT